CAGAACTAAATATATACTGCACGGATGCATGAGGCAGGCAGAATAACATAAGTTCAGGCTTGTACTATAAACTTAATTGACATTAAATCAATAAAATAAAAAGGAACCCAAAACACTACAACCAGTGAGGAAATAGGGCTGGAGTGTCCACATATGGGACAGAAATTGCTAATATAATCAAATGTAAAGACAGAAAGATTTCAGAGGGACTATAGAAAATTGCTAAAAGAGGAGCACTGTGTGCAGATGGAGGAAGTGTAGGATGTGTATACTTTACACAGCATTTTCTGCATGTCTGCTGGTTTTGTAGTTAGAGTTGATGAACTCTTATCTGTGTGTGCAGTCAAATCACATGTTGGATTAACAGCTGATATCTCCACACATTACCTCAAGCCCACATGTGTTATAAAGGTATATAACACATCAGTCAGTGATGCTGTTCCACAGCAGTGCTTTGACCCCACATTTTTCTTTTGCACCTTTAACATCTTCCTGAACTTAATCTATAGTTAGTTGTTATTGGTATTGATTGTTATTGATTGCCCAGAAACTCTCTACGGTGGTTTGCAAGGGAAGGGCAAGATTCATTCAAATATAGACACAGTTTGGAATATAGAATTTCAAAAGCAGTCAGTGTTTCATGCTCATGCTGCTCCAACATGCTGTACGTTAGTGTTGTTTATACAGGATTGGCAGCAGTGGCTTTAACCATTCACGTCTGGCCTTGGAATCCACTCTAATCAGATTTCTCTAAAGCCCTGTAGCACGCACTGCAGTACTGCAGTGGGGACAGACTCAGCAGGTCTGTAGTGTGTGGCCCAGGCAGCTTTACCATTGGCTCAACCAGGCCAACCCCCCCCAAACACCACCCCCATCTCCGTGGTGATGAAAAGATTGCATTGTGGCCCAAAAGAGGAGTGCCTGTGAGAGATCAGGCAACCCCTGCCTCAGGAAACGACCCACCTCCCTCCCTCCAGTGTTTGCAAGCACTCTCACGTGTCTGATATGTAGTAACACTGCAAGGCAATCACTGGAGCAATTGAAAGCTTACCGGCCAGCAACCACCCACACGCACACACATGCACTGTAAACACACTGAGATGAAACACTTAGCATGTACATACATGCACAGTCACATATAGTTTGAGGCTGAACAAGGCAAATATTAACCTGCACACATATGCACGAAAACCACATGGCCACAGTCTAATTAATGAAATTCCTGAGATTACACTAAAACCTGCCTCAGCTTTCACTTTTATTCCCTTCACACATAAAAATGCAAATGTGTATCTTTCACACAAGATATTATGGTACTTATTTTTATTGCAAATCATTATTATTATACTTTTAACCTTGTTGAGCACCTGACCCACTGATGACCTCACACACTGCAGTAAATAAACCATCACATCTCTACACTTATTTCTTTCTGTCATATATTCACACACAGCAGTAACAAGTATTAGCATTCTCCAGATTCGCTGTTGTCTGCTCCGTATTCTTCCAGTCTCTTTCTCTGCTCTCCCTCTCCCACTCTAGTTGGCTATGTTTTCCTGCATGTTGAATGCTCCAGTTCTTAGAAAACCCAACACGTGTTTCCTTTCTCCCCCCTGCCTGGCGCAATGTATGTGTGTGTGACACCATGATAAAGTGCTCCACAGCAAGGCAGTGCAAAGTATATTTGTAATGACAGCAGAATTTGATCCACAGTCATGAACTGTATCACATGTGATTGCAGTTTCATGTGGACCGCATACACACACAAACACACACAGAGGTCTAGAACAAGCAGGCGTGGGGGCAGTTGGATGGGAGTTGGGCTGGTTCTTAGAAACACTGAGTAACAAGAAAAAGCCATGAGACCCAGTTCGGGGAGACTTTATGTCGAAACTTTTGTGTTTGTTTTTCTAAAATGAGAACTCTGAGTACAGACTCAACTCAGGGCGCCATATATAAATGTAACTTTATCAGATTATGGATTATAGTTAGGAACATCTGACAGAGGACTATAGATATGGGAGTTATCAGTTTTCTCATCAAGTCAAGTCAAGAAAGTGAATAAGAGCATTTCGCCAAAATGATGAAATAGAAAAAATACAACATTACAAGCATTCATTTACAATTTAAAATCTGCTGCTTTATATTGTTGGAATAAAGGATTATATTACCCTCCTCGTAGGATATGATTTTGCTTAAGGTTGCAGTTGTTGAACTGTATACATCTATAAAGTATATACACCAGTCGAGCATAACATTATGACCACTGACAGGTAAAGCAAATAACACTGATTATCTCATCATCATCATTAATGCTGGTTCTGATAGAAATGTGTCAGATTACACAGTGCAACACAGTTTGTGATGTATGGTGCCTTGTATATCTTTTCTGAATGTTTTTTGAATAGTTTTGCATTTGGCTAGGGCCAGTGTAACTATTGCTAGCATGAGGTGATACCTGGACCCTACAGAGTTTGCATAGGTAGTCCCACTCCTCTAGGATGGTGCACCAATATGTGCCATTGCCAGAAGGTTTGCTGTGCCTCCAAACATAGTCAAGAGAATGGAGGAAAATCCAGGAGGCAGGCAGTAAGGTCAGTTGTGTAGGGCTGTAGAAGATACCCATCAACAGGACCAGTATTTGCACCTTTGTGCAAGGAGGAACAAGATGAACACCACCAGAGCTACAAAATGACCACTGGTGTGAATGTCTCTGACCAAACAATCAGAAACAGACTTAATGTGAGTGGCCTGAGGGCCCAACTTTCTCCAGTGGGCCCTGTGCTCACTGCCAGGACCATGAGGCCTGACTGGCGTTTGCCATAGAATACTAGAAATGGCAGGGCACCTTGTGCTTTTCACAGATAAGAGCAGGTTCGTCCTGAACACATATGACAAACGTCTGGAGGGTCTGGAGAAGATGTAGAGAATATCATGCTGCATGCAAAATCCCTCAGCATGACCAGGATGGCATACCCATGGAGAGACACACAGATCTCTACAGGCTAGGCAACAGCACCCTGACAAGCGTTAGGTATTAGGATGAAATCCTTGGACCCATTGTCAGACTGTACAGTGGTAAAGTGGCTCCTCTGTTCCTCCTGGTGCACGACAATGTCCCACCTCATGTGCGGTGAGTATGTAGGCAGTTCCTGGAGGATGAAGGAACTGATGCCATTGGTTGGCCGCCATGCTCGCCCAGCCTAAATCCAATAAAACACCTCTGGGACCTGTTTCAGTCCATCTTACACTGCTAGGTTGCACCTCAGACTTATAGGAGCTCAGTGATACCCTGGTCCAGCCATTGTCTCGTTAAAAGCCCCAACGCTGTCAGGCATGCGGAGCCCATACAACCTGAGGACTATTTTAAATAGATGCTAAGAAATTTGGGCAAAATCGATTAGCCTACTGCTGCATCAATTTTTCACTTTGATTTTTAAATTCAGTCGATGTGTTTTCAAAGTGTTCCTTCATTTTTATTTTTATTTTTTATAGCAATATATTAGATAGATAAACTACCAACTGCAGTTACAGGTTTAGTTTCTCCGGACAGATGGGTAGACTTTTGACCACTGAGATACAGTCAGTACATTGCACAATGCTGATGCCTTCAAGCTCTCTGAATGTCAGTGCTATTCTTGTCTCCTTGGCTGCTCATACCAGGCTTGCATGTCTTCAGAATTAGAACAAGGTTCTTTTCCTTTTCTCTTGGGTAGATTTCAGTAGAAATGAATACAGTGTGATTTAATGATGCCATATCTAAGTAATTTGAGTTTTCCAATGATGTTACAGTCAATACTCTGCTATGTACTGTATTATATGTAGAATGTGACGTTTCAATCAACTAAAACATGAAAGACATTAATATGTCATCACTGCTGAAGAACTTAATTCTTATTTAACCCCAATGTGTCCTCAGAAAATGTCTCAGATAATCCTCCCTGTTTCCAAAGAAGGATGCTGTATCACATGTAATATTTAATTAATGTAATTTTAATAAAACGTAATGATTTTCAAACTTTTTAACCTATATTTTACTCTAAGGATATTTAGTCAGTTATTAAAATAAAGTTGTTAAAAACTGTAAGCTATGTATGCATTGCTTTTAGACAATCCTTTTCTCACTGAAACAAGAAGTGAATTTACACTAACATACATATTTTATATATTCATTTATCTATATATAGATATAGTAATTGATATAGTACGCTATCTATATATAATTATTAGAGGTATTATTTAATTACATTAGTATATAATATTGAAATGTATAATTCGGTTGTGCATTTGTGAAATATTTTCAACGAGCTTTGAGGTCAAATTGTCCCTTTTCAACATAATTAATTACCTTTATAGGGGCTTATGATAAGATTTTTAATTACTTTATTAATAAAGTTGTTGCATGTAATTTCTTTTTTTAAAGAAGTATTAAAGTATAATGCAGGAATTAGAAAGTGTGAACAGTAAACACAAGCAGAGACAAAACAATAATATAGTCATAACTGATTTTTTTAAGGGAACTGTTCAGCAAACATTGTGTGGCGTCATTGGTGCTCAGCCAATCGATCAGTCCGAGGTTGCAGCTCTGTGGTGGAGGGAGGAATATTTAATCCACGTGGTGCGTTCCAGAGTAATTTGGAAGTGTAAAGTTCCGAGTTTGCAGTCTTATTTTTCGTCTGGAACGACCCGTCAGCTCTGACTTCCAACCGGAGAAGTCGGAGCAACCCCATTAATATCGAGTTAACAATCCGAGATGTCATAAATTAAACTGTAAAACTTGTAATCTGCACTGTCGTGCTCGCTAAATAAGCCATAGGCGGAGAACTGAGCAGCTTCTGTGCACAAATGTGTGTTAAAATCAGTAAAGGTATTTCCCAGTAGTATTAGTGGTGCACAAAAGACTGTAGTTTGCTAAGAAGTAAAAACAAATCCTGTTTTTTCCTGTTTTCCAGACTTTAATACTGGAGTGACGTCACTCCCGATTCATGCGTCCGATTTCCAAGGTAACCTGAACGCGGCATACGATTTAAAACGCATATCAGCCTCGAGCACAGAAGCCACGATCAGATGTCAACAAAGCTGTAAGAGTGTGAATATTACCGATGATGTTTGTGCTGAGCACTGACACTTAACGCCGTAAACCAGTATAGGACCCTTAGTGGAAAAATCGGAAGGAAGAAATATTCTGGAGGGAAGAGCGACGTCCATAAATAATGTAAGCAAAGACTACATTGCTTCTGTAGCATGCTGTGAGAAACATGTCATGGGGTTTAGGTATTTTTGAAGTACAGGTGTTATATATTGCTTGGGCTGTTTGAATGAAGACAGAGCCCTGATGCAGACTGCAGAGCCTCACCCCGTGTGCAGATGTTTACATGTCGCCACAGAGCCACACTACGACGTAATTATCAATCCCGTACTGATGCAGCTTCTCTTCACATCCTGCATAAGAGAAATATCCACAATATTTGTGACAGTATTTGTTTATATATATGTATAATATATGCATCTATGGTTTTATTTCGTGGTGTGCGTTTTCAGACGGTATAGTGATTTAGTAAAGTGCTGTCTAATATATAGAACCCCCCTCCCTTTTTTGTTTTATTTAGCTATCATTTGTCACAGACAATCACCCCGGTGTGTCTGGCCGCTCCAGTCACATTAAATTGGTTTAATTGGATAATCCTTCACATTATCATCTGTCTGTAAATCCCTCAATCTCTCTATTACCTCTCAGCTATCCTGTCCGTGTTTGCACACTGTCTTTCCTGTGGTGAGAGGCCACTGATGTTTTATGTTTATAAATAAGCCTCAGCACACTATGTCACACACTGTGAATGCAACTCAGCGTCGCTGCTCACTTATCCGAAAAAGAACAGCAGTGACTGAGATCAGGTTCTTGTAGCCTAACTGTTTTGTTCCTTGTGCTGCATGTCCATTTAATGACACATAATGACCCCTTGGGTGGACTCGTGATAGGTTATTACGTAATTGAGGCGCAGTGTGATTGGCTCTTTAACAGAAACGTCCTGGAGGACTGGGCATGGCTTTGTGTGTGTGTGTGTGTGTGTGTGTGTGTGTGTGTGTGTGTGTGTGTGTGTGTGTGTGTGTGTGAGGGAGAGAAAGAGAGAGAGAGAGATTAACGGAGAGAGAGAGATGTGTTTGCGGGAGATTTCTGTTTACCGTGATGTCAGGTCTGTGGCATGAAAATTGATGGACTCATATTCATGGTGTTGAAATAAATGGACAAGAGGTCCAGGGAGTCAGAGTTGGGTCAAGGGATCAAATAATTATTGCCTATCCCATTTGTAATGCTCGAAATTGCACCATAGAAACTGACATGTTGAAACAAACTACCAAAGGAAAAAGAACATATTTTCTCCCATGAGGTTATATGCAAATTTGTTCATTTGCAAAGTATGTTCGATAGCTATCACTACAGTTTCTATTCCATCCTATTATTTTCTTTCTATGTTAAAAGAAAGAATGTTGAATAAACATTTAGAACACATATTAATCATTTTGATTTCCATGAACAGCATTATGGGTTACTTTGTACAATATACAGATATCACTGAATTTAAGCCGTTTTCTACCACACTCCTCTGCAGAAGCAGAAAAAAGAAGGAAAGGTGCACAGCGTGTAGTCGTTATTCTAATAACAATGTTGTGGTGTGTTGTGTTATTATTGTTGTGGCCTGGTTAGACCAAGGGTGTGATGATTGACTTATGTGGCTTTGATGAGCAGTGGAATAAAGCTAGGCCATTAGAACAAAAGATCCCCAATCTGTGATGTTCAATAATTGATGTGTGTTAATGAATCATCCTCATCATCAGCGTTCTTGCACAGTTTGCTGAAGCACGAAGCCATCTGCCGACTGGGCGTGCTGTAATGTTTGTGTATGTGACACTATCTTAGTCAGCACAAGCAGGTGACAGGTGGTTACAATTTTCTTGAATGTGTTTAAACCCATGTTACACGTGGCCTCACCGCCCTTTCGTAACCTTTTCCCGCTCTCCCTCTTGTTTCTGTATGCCTCTCACCAAAAGGGGATTTATATATTTTTAAACATTCTCTCTAAAAATATCTGGTTACAATTAACATTGACTATTACATAGTGGCTACTATTAATAAGCCATCATAGCTGTAGGGCCATTAGGTTGTACATTGCAAAGACAGTACAACAGAAGAAGGCTTATGAAATATCAACTTGTTTATTCATAAAAAATTAATAAGGCTGTTCAGTTCATAACAGATGGGTTGCTGTTCATTTCTCCCATTACTCACAACCATAAATCTTGGAGGACACTGGAGGCATTTCCCTGTCTGTGATGCGCTCACAAGAGCATGTTTGCCGTACTAGAGTAATGCCAGACATCCCTGATGGACTGTATATTTGCACTACAGAAAGGAAAATGCGCTGAGTTTATAATGCTGTCTTTTTTGGTGGGGGGGAAACCCACCCCCTCATTCTGTCTTTTTTGAAAAGCACAATGCTCTCATATACCAACTTTGGTCAAACCCACAAACATACCCCGCACTCAGAAGCACCACAAGAGTAGAGAAAAGAATGATGAAGCTGTCTTTGCTTGAGCAACCTGCCAGAAACCACTTGAGATTATGCAGTTAGCTGGCATGAGTGGGCACAAACTGGACTCAGTATATCAATAATGTGTCTTAATGTGTAATTATGTAACAAGATGGCCTTGCATTGTGTTTTGACGTTAAAGACATGAAACGTGACTAAAACAGATGAATAATCTCCTATATTTTTTCTCTCACTCTCTATCTCCCAGTTGCAAACCATGAATTATGTGGGTCAGCTGGCGGGGCAGGTGTTTGTGCAGGTCAAGGAGCTGTACAGAGGGCTTAACCCTGCAACACTGTCTGGGTGTATAGATGTCATTGTGGTCCAGCAGCCAGATGGCTCCTTACAGTGCTCTCCGTTTCACGTCCGCTTTGGCAAGATGGGTGTGCTGCGGTCACGTGAGAAAGTGGTGAGATCATAGAGTGCTCTCTAACCTGCACATGTTAAAAATCTATTTTATATTTCACGACAGCTAAATGTACATTTTAATATATGTAAATTTAATCTGCATTCATTTGTGCAGCGCTATAGTATATTTTTTGAAAAAAAGAAACTAAAACAGTGCATTATAACAGTATATTTAAAACAGGACTACAATCAGTAAAACTCATGAGTCAGTATCTTAATGATAACATTAGGTTATAACAGATTATTATTTATTTTTTATAGCCTAAAGGTACTGCATTGGTCTTCTCAACCTTCCAGTCTGGAGGTTGTCAGGGAATGCTAATGAAGTCCAAGGCATTAGTCTTAATCAATTCTTTTTCTGTTCTGTTCTGCAGGTGGACATAGAAATTAATGGAGAGCCAGTGAGCTTACACATGAAGCTGGGAGAAAATGGAGAGGCTTTCTTTGTTAAAGAGACTGAGAACAAAATGGTGAGTAGTGATTGACAGAGTCATTACTCCTGAATCAGTAAACACACACGAGAATAGCACAGAACATTACTCGCAGATATGAAGGTCATAAAGCCTGAACTAATATACAAGAAGTGCTTGATTTATCACTGTGCTCCAACAGAGCTAAATTATTATTTGCCCTCTTAGGTAGTAGCGATTCTCACTGGTTTTACCACTCGCTGATTAATCTGCAACTACACGTTGTTGTAACTTTAATTGCCAAACTTAAATGTCTTCTCGTCCTGCCCTGACAAGCCCAGAGTAAGAAAAAAGATGTACCTTGACTCACTCGCGGCGTCAGTTTTACCACACAGCTTTAAGGAGTGTAAAATATACTTCAAAATTTCTTAATATTATGAGGTTTTCTATAAATTGAGTACCTTTTTTATTTACACGTGTATATAAAATATCCTAGTGTTGTCATACTTGGGGGAAAAAATCCAAGCATAGACCTTATGAACTTGTTTGTAGATAAGTAGCTAAACATTTTAGCAAAACACTAGGCTCAATAACAAGGCACAACAAGTGCTTCTGTCCTCCTGTGGCATCTTCTTGGCAAACACGAGTTTAGCTTCCCAGAAATAAACCATCATGACAAGCAGAAAGCAGAGACAAACACTGGTCAGTCAGACACTAAACACACAGTCGACAGTCTGTCATTGTCTAACTTTGATATGTGGGTGGAGAAAAAGAAATTTGATAGAAACGAATGACTGATTCATATAGTGTCAATTCATAGCAACATTTGCCTAAAGGTGTTTTGTGTTGTTTTGGACCTGTAACTATGTTATACAGGGTGTTTTCTTACTTCCAACAGTTAGCCAGGAGCAGGCAACACTTTGTCATTTTCTTCCCATTTCAGCCAGGGAAACAAAGACATTTGTTTTTCAAGTCTAAAAGCTCTTATGAACATTTACGCAGTACAAAAGTGTCATGCGAGGACAGACAGACATTGACTATTGCCAGTGCCAGACACCAGTTTATTTGCTTCCAGGCAAATGGCAACAGATACAATGTTCAACTGATAAATTGGGGCATCTGTAATAGAAACGGCTCACATTATTCAACCATAGACTTTACCCACTGGTTTGCCTCAATCCCCTGAAGCTGAATTTATCTGTCAGATTTTAGCTTTTCATGTATCTGTAATACGCCGTATTACACAGAAGTATTTGCAGCGCACATGCACATACACGTCACAGGAAACGGCATAATCTGGGAACATTCCCTTCTGTTTTGAAACCTGATTCTGCAACGCGATAGGTAACGTCTCATGGGAGGTGGGAGGGAGTATGGGAGTATTTGAGGTTGAGAGGTACTTCAAGGAAGATCTATTGTAGTAAACAACATCTATCAGCAGTCACAATGTTACTCGTGAAGTGGTGAGTAACCAGGAGCTCGCGCTTTCCCCTGGCCAAGAATGAAAAGGAATATGTTGCAATCTGAGAGGTTCTAATTCCTTTTCCGAAGGATTACGTCCATCTAATGCTGCATCCATTACTTACTGTCCATCTTATAGAGAAGAAGCTATTAATAAATCAATACTATAATACCTCTTTCCACAACAGACAAGAAAATAATGGCTTTTAGTTTCAGTCCCACATAGAGTTATTTGCGAATTCGGTTTGACCATGTTTGTCTTATAGTTTTGGTCTCGACTTGAATCCTTTCCCTTAACATAACTCTCTCTCCAGAGAGTGGAAAACCACCGGAGACCTATTTATAGGTCTGCCATTTCACACACTGTATAGTCTGTTACACACAGACTGCCCTCGGAAATTACTGAGACATACTGTACATGTCATGAAAGAGGAGCAGTACAAGGACATAAAACCTCTAGCTGGTAATAGCACATTGGTAGCACAGCACGGTGTGTTTGCCACTCACATGAAGAGGTAAAAGAACAAGCATCATGGGAGCTTGCAGACTGTGTCAGTCTAAGTTGTCACATCTCAAGTCCTAATGTACACTCTGTACACTCTTCATCTGTGTTTCTCAAGGTGCAAAGTTTGCAGGGGTTTGTGCATGATCAAATAAATGCACAAAAATTGAGCCCAAAATTCTCATCTTCATGCTACAACATTAGAAATCTTTCAATACCAGTGCTTTAATAAAAGAAACATCTCCGATGATGTAACTTAATGACTTTGTGCCCTAAAGGGTGACACATAAAGAGAATTATTACTCTCTTTATCTTTATGGCATGTGCATTTAACAACCCTTTAATGCAAATATCAGAGATGTAAAACCAAAGTGTTGGAAAGATTTTTACTCAGTAATTGAAGTAATCTTATTTATTACATTGCATTTTGCAGCATATAAACAAATCGCTTTATAGTTGATCTTGTGTGGTTTAAGAATTCTATATTTGTGCACAAATGCTCTTTTTCTAAGGAAATTGTGGGAATAACACTTATAGTTCAGTGAGAAACTGAAATATCAACAGATTGGAGTAAAAAAACAAAAACAATTTAAATACTGGAACTGAAACTGGCTTTAGAGCTGATATTTCCCTCTGAGTATAGAGCTCAGAGTAGATCTGTACTCAGTACTATCCCTTTTCCTCTCCAGTCTAAATGAATTGTGCTGTGTTGGACTGTGCAATGACACGTGAACTGCAAGGCATGTGTGAGTCTGCTCTGTTTGGATCATCCCTTTATCATGCCTCCGCCTCCCCCACTCTCTCTTTCTCTCTCTCTGTCTCTCTCTGCCTCTCTTTATTCTTCTGGCAGCCTCTTGGCAGTGCAACCCTGATGAGCAAATCTCTGTGATTTTGCTAATCTGAGCTCAAATTTTCACCAGATTATTTAGCTGGCTGTTTGGCAGTAGGAATGACCATATCTGTTGTTGCAATATTTCATTTTCCTTTAGTATAGAAAAATCAGCAATCTGCAATATGGACTGCTATGACATTTTGACAGAGAACAAACGTATTTGGCCTGGTCACTACCTGCTATACTCAAGGCTTTTTCATCACCCCCAGCTGTAGAGAGGGTGATGGGACCTTAAAATGCTCCACTTTATTCCTGCATCTTGTCCTACATGATTAGATTCTCAATCTACTTTATATTACAACTGTTCTGAGGGCAATTTTTACTTGCTGTTGTGTAATAATTCTTAATAACTCCAGATATAAATGTCACAGAACCAAAGCAAATGGCTTAAACCAAAGAAGACAATTGCATCATTAAATGTATGAACAAAGAGTTCTCAATAAGGCAATAATAATAATTAAAAAAAACAAAAGTAAAAGCACTTTTCATGTCAGTATAAGCAGCTATTATAGATGCTGTGGTCTACACAAGAGATGGTACAGCAGAAAAGACTTGCGTCAAGTATTGCTAATTTCAGACCTTATCTCACTTTCCCTGGAAACAGGAAGTGGTTCCATCCTACCTGGCAACATCACCAATCATGTCAACAGGGCAGGAGTTAATGAAGTCACATCTGGCCAGGGGCAACTCTCGTCACCATGGTAGGCGCCGTTGGAAACAGCGATGTTAGAATTTGTGACAATTTGCATTTTCTTAAACAGTTTTTTATGATACTCTTTCCCATCATATAGACTCCATCCCATGCGGCCCGCTTCCTGTTCAGAATCTGGGACTGCAGCAAAGTGAAGGAGGGTTAACCAAGAAGAGGAGAAAGAGAAAGAAGAAGGCACGGCCAGAGGGAGGTGGAGGAGGTGCAGGACTGAGGAGAGAGGAAAGTGGAGAAGAGTTCTCAGATGATGAGGACATGTTCACTATTGACCTGAGCTCAGATGAGGAAATGGAGGGGGACAGCAGCAGGTGTGTGTGTGCAAGAGAAAGTCTGAATATGTTTGTGTGTATGAAACAGAGAGGGAGAAAGAAAGAGAGGTTATTATACCTGCCAGCCTGGTATTTAACAGGGGAAAAAAACATTTGATGGTTGTCACAGTGTTTTTTGCGAAGCCGATGAACCACTGCCAATAATTCCTTAACTGTGTTAAGTGGAAAACCTGTGTGTGTTTGTGTGTGTGTGCTTACATTTTTCATGCATGGGTATGTGTTTAAGTGGCTGTTTGAACTGTCTAAAAGCTGGGTTTGTATTTATATCATTTAAATCACAGATTACATATATATATATATATATATATATATTCATATCTGGGCCCACATCCTCATTTTAGCTTTCACAGCGTTTTAGTAGATAAAGGTGAATGGCTTGGACGTGAATTGAACTGCGATTTGGGGAAGACCTCGAAGGGGCCTGGTGGCGGCTCCCGGGCCAAGCAGATCCCCATGTACTAAATAGAAGTGAAGAAGTTAAAGAATTGAAGAGGGGATGGAGGGTGGGGCAAGTAAACAAGAAGGAACTGCTTGTAGAACTGGGGGAACATATATAGATAAGAATCGGAAGGAGCATGTTTGGAGGTATGGTCCCGCTCCTGAAATTCCAATACTTTATCTCCAATTAAAATATGTGTTGAAAAAGTACTTAATGAGAGAAGAATATAACACTGAAAACTTTAGAACACGTGCTTCATGAGGACTGCTGTGTCGGTGTAGTTTGATCAGATTTGAATGGCAATAACAAACAGCCCACCTGCTTTCAACAGATTCATATTCAAACATTGCTAGATTTTAATTTGTCTAAGCAAGTCCTGCACAGCTCAAAACAGTGAGAAGGCATCAGAAAAATCAATGTGGTGTGTTTATGTTGAAAACCAGGATCAATTTTCTCTCTAACCGGTGTTAAATGGAATTAAGGTTAGTTTCTGTTTAATAAATAAATAATTTTCTTAAGTGCTTAAAGAGAAGCAGTTGTATGTGTGTGTGCAGGTTTGTGCATGTTTGTGTTCATGTGTGAAGCCCTCTTGGAAACCAGCTCTGCTTGTTGGACTTGCTCCAAGGATTTGTCCGTTTCCCACAGCGCGCACTGTCTCTTTGAAAGAATGGCTCACGGGGTCATCCTTACTGGAGGCATTCCAAGCCTTTTTTAGGAAGTTTGCCACATGATCCTGAAACCCTTAAAGACAAGCAAAAAAAGTGTGTGTGCTTCAAGTCATTCTCTAAATTGTACTTAATGAGTGTATTTCCTTGGCTGGTTTATGATATGCGGTCACAGTCAAACAGCCCACGACATTTCAATTTTCAACAAATAAAAAGACCATACCATAGTTTCTTGGATGTGATACGACTTGCATCGACGCACTGTTTACATAGTAAATACCAGTGTCTGCACTAATGATGAAATAAAATGGTTGTGCACATGACTGACATCTCACTGGATGTGTGTATTTGTGATCAGACCTGTGTATGGTGATCAGGGATTGACTGCCAATGCCCACATTCTCCCCAGCACTGATTGGACTCATTCACAGAGGTATTTGGATGTAAGTGTGTGTCTGTCACACTGACAGACACACACTTGAACTCTTTAATAAACTCTTCTCATGAAATAGCATATTGCACATTTTAATATGTTTTTTTGTCCTCATGATAATTAGATGGAATCACAATTCACTGTCTTTCATTCTCTCTTTTCTTCCCTTCTCTTTTTTTGTGTTCTTTTTGTCTTTTATTCTTTCTGTAGTAAATTGATTAAGAAGACTCTGTCCATTCCTCAGCCCTGTGGTCTATCCATCTCCTGTCCTCAGCAATCCTCTCACTTCTCTTCTCCTACTAGGTATCACCTTAGATTCCACCCTCTCTGAACACTAAATATGAAATAATGCACTAATTTTAGTGCATTATTTATGCAATAAAATTTGCATAAAGAATGATACATTTTGTAACTTTGTAACTTTGAAACTGTGAAGTACCAGACAATCCAAAACAAATGTTTGACTTTAACTTTTCCAGTAGCCCAGACGATTCGCAGTCATCAACACCAAAGAGTGACTCAGAGCTAACAAATCCATCTAAGGACAACCCTGAGATGCTATGGACCTGGGGGGAGTTACCACAGGCTGCCCAGGTACATAACCACACATGGCATCACATAGTGAATTGAGTCTGTTGGCTTTGCCTTTTGGGAATGGCAGCATTAAATCAACTGCATGGTCATAAAATACAATATATACATATAACTGCATGTTGTAGCTGTTTACTGTGTTATAACATGCAAAGAGTCAAGGTAAAATAAAGTGTGCAAACAATGAAAACTGCCCACCGCACCCATTATTAGCACTTCTCGTGCTGCTTTTTTTGTTTTTTCATGCTTCTCGCCTTTGGGTTGTGCTCCACAGTTGCTCCCTTTACTACTCACGCTGATCCACTTTGTGTATCAGTCGACACGCAGCTTCATCAACATTAGGCTGCACACTGTTAGTTTCTTGGAGGACTACACTAAAGTATGTCAGCATAGGTTGCACACCCAAAGTCAAACAAATGGACACAAATGTGCTGATTCTGAACTGATTCCACCTGCTGATCAGAACCAACAAAGCCATATCTATTTTATAAGTAATGTTAAGACTTCAGCCTGTATGAGTGGAGAAAATGAAACATGACTAAGGGGTGGGGTTAATAAAATGTATGTAAGAAAGCAAATATTGCCTGAACTGACTGTCTGTTTTTCTTTTACAGCCATCTTTCCTGACCGCCCACCAGAAGCAGGATTCTGCTGCTGTTGTCTCCATACCGGTGTCTTCTAGCACTCACTTCCGAGCCATCAGTGACATGGGAACTCCGTGCAGTCCACTGCCACCACTGGACAAAGACACAGAGGAAAACAGAAATGGACACATTGTCAGAGAACAAGGTAGAATAAAACTTTGCACTGAATGTACAAATATCTAAAAGCAGGATAAATTTGCACAGCGTCACATTAAAATGCTTTGAGAAATGCTGTGTTTTTTCCTTTAGAGAGAGAAGTGAAAAGTGTTGGGCCGTCATGTGTACAGATGGAGAGTTTGACAACATGCTCAGTGTCTCAAAGAATTCTTCCTGATCATTTGGAAGATAGCAGGAATAGTCCCATCAAAAGGACCGATTCACCGTCCAAGAGGAAAGGTACTGTTTGAGTTTTCTGCTCGTAAACAAAGGATATCTTGATCTCAGTGTGTCTAAATTTCTGTTTCCTCTTTTATGCACTGATAAATGTCTCTTCTAGAAAAGAGAAGTCAACACCTGGGTGCTGATGGTATTTACCTGGATGACATTACAGAACTGGAGCCTGAAGTAGCTGCTCTTTACTTTCCTAAAACGTACGTACAGCATGTGTTGTAGCACCCTCTGGTGGCCATATTAGGGATCACAGTATTTCTTTCCACTGACACACAGAGCACAGAATACTTTATGGATGATTTTTGTATAACATTAGGTTTTTTTTTTTTCAATAACTAAGCACTTGCTTCACTGTAAGTGCTTATAATAGCAGATTATTTGAACTTGATAGCATGAAGAAGATTAATGAGGTAGCTAGGTTACGAGAAAGAAGGAGACCTTCTTTCAGTTGTATTTTTGTCACCACATGGTAACAGCCATTGAACTTCTTTATAACTAAGAGAAGACAGATATTCCTCCTCTCAAGGTCTTCGAAAACTCCAATTTCCAAAACTGAATTTAGCCTTGAAGAACTTGAAGTGTACTAAATACATTTTAGACCATTGTTTACATATGGCATGATAGTATGAAGAATTACTGTGTGATCCATGTGTGTGTATTTTTCCCTCCACAGTGACGGAGGCAGCAGCTCGATGAAGGGGGACACTGAGATGATGGTGGGTGTGCGGAGCGCTAACCAATCCCCACAGTCAGTCAGCAGCAGCGGGGTGGACAGTGGCGTGGACAGTTTGGTGGATCAAGTGTGTGATCTACCTCATGTTGCTATCTCTTTGTGTGGAGGACTCACTGATAACAGGGAGATTACAAAAGGTGGGACAGGGAATGATGATGTTGGACAATAATAGTGAAATAATGTGCATGAAATATTTGCAGTTGTCGAGATAAAGCTTATATGAAAGAAATTAAAAACAACATATTATATTTTTTAATTTGAAAACTTTAACAATATTCATAAATAATGTTGCAGGTCTGTTCGCGTTTTACATATTTTAAACAGAAATAAATTGATTTTTAAGATTTCACACAGTTAGACAAAAATAAGTTATTATATGAAAAAACTATCTTATCAATCAGATCTTTTGTTCTCATTTGTTCTTGCCTCTGTCTGTTCCTGCTACAGAGCAATTCATGGAGAAGGCTGTTTCCTACCAACAGTTCTCTGAAAACCCTTCTATTATTGATGACCCTAACCTTGTGGTCAAGATAGGAAGCAAGTATGTACTTCTACTGCTCTTTATTTGAACTGAGCGCCTGACATATACAAGCTTTTTTTTTTTTTTTTTGCAAATATGTAAGCTATCCTTTGCCAGTAGATGTCTTTAAGAATGAAGGGGTGCATAATAGCTTCCTCTGTCACCTGTTGTAGGTACTACAACTGGAACACAGCTGCTCCTGTCATGCTGGCCATGCAGGTCTACCAGAAACCACTGCCACAGGTAAGACCACCACAGTGATACACAAGTATTTACTCCTGATTCTTTCCATTCGACATGAATGCCACAAATTCTGCCCTCTCAAAAACTGTGAAGACGGACCTTTACGTTTTGTTGTATTTAATCAATAAAATGTGTAAATGAAGAGTTTTGTTTTTTGTCTGAAACAATGTGTAAAGCCACATTTTGCTTTGATGAATATACATTACTTTGGCTACTATCTACTGTTGTATTCAATATTGTTATTTGTTATATGGTGTGTTTGTTGTGTTGCAATGTTATGGACCACCTTTACTCCAGAGCATTTCTGGCATTTTACAATTTATTCTTAATCTGTTTTTTTTCCCACTCTGGTTCACTATTGTTGTTTGCCAGCCACCTCTCATTAATACCTCAAAATAACACCAACTGAAATGTGTTCACACTCATTCCTTGTTTCAATAATCAATATTTCAAAACTAAGTGAAGATTTCAATGTTTTCACTTTATCCCAAGTGAACAAAACTTACATGCTACCGATCAAAATTACTCGACACATGGGAGAGCTTATAGCATATTTGCCAGTCCTATATCACAGGGAACTGTTGTGGTAAATTCATTGACCTAACACTTGATTAATGTCATGTCTTTGTCCCCCTTCTTATTTTTCCCTTTTATTTAAATCCATTCTTTCTTTCACCATCCACCCGATGTTTATATTTACCAAGTGTTGGTGTTTGAGTTATGTGTTTTCTGCTTTTGGCTTCTTCTCATACTGCCTCCCTGGTCTGTTTGGCTCCAGTCCTACCCAGCCTGTATGATGTTTTCTGGCTTTGCTTATGTGTTGGTCGGGGCATGACTTTATCTGCCTGCTTTGTTGCTTTATTATTGTTACCCTTTCCGTCAGCCTCTCTTTTCCCCCATATTTTCACTTGAGTCCAACCATGAACATCATCTTCCTTTTCATTTAATCTAGCATCTGCTATTTTTCTATTTGCATGTCTTATTGTTTTCAATTCTAATTGTTTTACAAGCAAGTTAGCTGGAGTTTAGTGTGGTTTGTCATATTTTACTTTGCCTTTTAGATTTTCTTTTTGTGCTTTCTTGTGCTCTCTCTTTTTTGTCAGCTTTAAGTTACATTTTCGGTCAGTTTTGAGTTGTATATGCATGATTGTCTCCAGGCATCGGTGGAGAACATTATGAAGGACAAGATGCCAAAGAAAGGAGGACGCTGGTGGTTCTCATGGAGAAGCAGGAACAATGACTATAAGTCAGTAAGTGCACAGATAGATATGCAGATGATGAACTTGTTTATCTACGATTCACCGTATCATTTACTGGACATTAGGAAGAACGGGGAAAGGATTAGTCAAATTTCTTCCTTGGGTCATACATGTGACCTTTGACCTTTTTGTTCCTCAGGAATCAGTGACAGAAGCAGCTGGAGACCAAGACGAGACTTCCATAACAATGGCCCCAGTAAACAGGTGACGTTAGATTTAAAACTGTGTATTTTTCTCTCCGCACCTATTGACATATTTTTTCCTACTTGTTTAATCTTATATGAGCATTTTTGTCTTGTATAATTCAGGCTGAAGGATGAATCATCCTCAAGTGATGAAGACCACAAATCATCCAGTCAGATATCAGGAGTCTTTCAGTCAGAGCCCCTTGAGAGTTCTGGTGGCATTTGTTACAAGAAGACTCTTCGGCTCACGTCAGAGCAACTGGTACAGTGTTTGTTTCTACACTTGCTTTTATTGACATAAACAGGAATACAAATTACCTTATTTAAGATATTTTGCTCATGTGGTTCACTACATATAGAAGAAATCTGTACAGTAACAAACAATAATACACTGTCTTTAATAAGACCATCTCAAAGTTTAAATTACTTAGCAGTCGAGGCAAAGTGAAAATAGAAATACGTCCAAAACCTCAAGAAAACTTCTCAACCTTCTTCATCTGTGTGTTTACAGGCTAGCCTGCAGCTAAGGGAGGGTCCTAATGAAGTGGTGTTCAGCGTGACCACTCAGTATCAAGGCACGTGCCGATGTCATGGCACAATCTATCTTTGGAGCTGGGATGACAAGATAGTCATCTCCGATATAGATGGCACCATTACAAGGTGTGAAATAACACTTAGTGGCCTACATCCTGTTCAGTTCTATCATATTACCAGCAGGAGTCAGACTTTACACAGTTTTTGCGTTCAAAGGGACAGCTTTATTCTGTGACGTTGTCTGTCTTACATTACGCTGTAGATCAGACACTCTGGGCCACATCCTCCCTACGCTGGGTAAAGACTGGACACACCAGGGTATTGCACGGCTCTACCATAGAGTCAGCCTGTGAGTGCTGCTTATTGTCCTCCAGCTAAAATACAGTATGTTGGGGTGAAGCACAATGCTATGTTTCTGTCTCTCATATTTTCTTTTGTTTGTTACAGAAATGGATATAAATTCATGTACTGTTCTGCAAGGGCCATTGGCATGGCTGACATGACAAGAGGTTACCTCCACTGGGTCAATGAAAGGGGAACCATGCTGCCAATGGGCCCAGTGCTGCTCAGCCCAAGCAGTCTTTTTTCTGCCTTGCACAGGTCAGATATAGAGCAAGGGGTAGAAAAATTCTACTCTAGATTATTTTTGGCCATTAACACAAAACCTAAAATATTTAGTTGCAGGTAATAATAGGTAACCTTTATTGTTTTTGCATATTTAAACTACGGCAAAAGTATTTACTCTGTCAAGTTAGTGGTTATTACTTAGATGTACCCTTTGAAAAAAGTTAGCTGAGGCAGATTTACAATGAGGACAAAAAAAAAAAGAACGTTCAACATTATGTTGTGTTTAGGGAGGTGATTGAGAAGAAGCCCGAGAAGTTTAAGATCGAGTGTCTCACAGACATCAAGCACCTTTTCTACCCAAACACTGAACCATTCTACGCTGCTTTTGGCAACAGAGCTACGGTGAGAATACTGCGCTGACATCCGCAGTGTGGATTACTCGCTCGTATTTTGGCCTCAGTGATTTTTAAAGCATGCTGGTTGTTTGTGTTATTTCAGGATGTCTATTCCTATAAGGAGGTGGGCGTTCCACTCAACAGGATTTTCACTGTCAATCCTAAGGGGGAGCTGGTGCAGGAGCATGCCAAAACAAATATTTCCTCGTAAGCTATATGCCTAGTTGCTTTTTGATTTTCATCAGTCTCATGTGCATGGCCATGTTTTGATGTCTGCATTCTGCCTTCCAACAGGAACAATAACAAAAGTCTTGTGTTTCTTTCTCAGCTATGGCCGTTTGTGTGATATGGTGGATCATGTCTTTCCGGTCTTTATGCAAGGTGAGGAAGCAGACTTCCCTCACTCTGATGATTTTGACCAATGCAATTACTGGAACAAAGTACTTCCTGAAGGCACTATTGAGGGAGAGGAAGACCCACAGCCAGCCAAGATGAGCTGAAGAAACTGCTGATTCTAGCATGAGGCAGCTTTAGCATAAATGTGAAGATGAATGAAGTCATCAAGCTTTTCCTAATATGGTAAATCAAGATGGCTCCTTAACTCACAGGTGATACTTAAAAAAATAACTGAGTACCAATTCAAAGGAAATGAATGTTTTTTTTCTACAGTAAACACAAAGAAACAAGCTGTGCTAACATTTAGGAGTGATAACGAAAGTAGTCAGGGAGACGGAGATAAAAGCAGAGGACTAAAAATGGCAACCTTAGGATCAATTGCTAATGAGACTGCTGAGTGAAAAACAAAGCAAGAAAAGAGATTTAAAAAACAAACAAACAAACAAAAAAAGCAAAACCAAAATAATTCTGTGATGAAATTCAGCAGCTGGTTGGGAATTAAACTAACTCACATTTGCAAGTGTTCTGACTCTAATGCATACACATAGTAAACCTTGCAAACAGCATAAGTATAATATTTCTTTAGATTTTTTTGTTATGCTACAAAATGTTTCTCAAAACATGTTTGTTGGTTCTCTAAAGGCACCAAGACAGAACTAACTGATTCCTTCGACTGGTTACCATTCTTGCCTTTAACCTACACCCATCATGTATATTCCAAAGGATAACAATTAGTAAATCAACTATTTCAACTATTGCCTAAATAGCAGACAATAAAACATAAATTGCCAATTTACTTCAGCTTTTGAAATGCTAGATGGGCCCTTTGCTGCGGTTTCTGTTCTGCTTGTAGCATGCAGTATTAGTTGTACTTAAACTACAACTTTAAATAAGATTCTACCTAGCTATGTGGCTAAAGGTTGTCTTCTGACCTCAAGTACAGTGGACATTTTGCACCAGAAAATGCAGACTATATATGGTAAAACCATCCAGAGCATGCAAAAATAGCACAAATAGGGTATGCAAAAATCTCCTGTGCCAAACTCCTTTGCAAAGTAAAGCTAAGCGTGTGGTCTTTTGACCGTGCTACTGTGAAACATGTGGCCATGGCACATATTATAGTCTTCAGTGACTATATTCAAGACAAGTGCAAGACAATGCAATGAAATTCTGTCTGTTTCTATCTATTCTTTTTAAATGTACAAAAAAGGACATTCTGTGATATCGTACAATGTAATATACAAATCTCTCTACTCATTCGAATAACTAATGCCCATCAATGCAATTGCTTCATAAGCTAATTTAACACTAATTATATTTTCAGTTTTGTAATGCAATATGATATATTGCACAGGTTAGTGTACTTCATGTAAAGCACTTATCTGTCCTGCAGAGGGAAAGTAAAGGAAGAGTATTCAGATTCTGTAAAGTTTTTGTATGAAACATGCCTATTTTTTGTAGTTTGTACATACGGGGTTTTTTTGTCTGTTATCAGACGTTTGTATTTTCATCACTTATCTAATAACATCCACTAAACAACTTTTATGCCTAATGTAAACCTCTCTTTTAATTTATATTACTTAAAATGGGAAAACCACTGCGTATGGTGTTAACATAATTTTTGTGACCGTACTATGATACAAGTTCTTGTGAATCAGTATATTGTCTAAAATACCTTGATGCTGGTGCTCATTCAAATATTCACACCCATTTTAAGGCCTCAAGGCAAATCTCTTTTTAAGTCAACTAAGAGGTGCCATTTTCATCACGCAACCACTGAAGCAATAAATCAACACCCAGTTGTTTTAGTGCTGCCTGTGGTTTGAGGCGTTAATGGCAACCAAGATAAAACCTCAACAGTTTACAAAAAGAGATATGTTTCCACTGCCTAACTGGTTTTAAATCGCATAAAGATTTATTCCCAGAGTACTTCATTAGATTTTTAGTTTGAAATTAACAAGTATATTTTTAGTACACAAGTATTTGTTCATGTGTCTTGTACTGAAATACCAGAATGCCAGAAACAAATCTGACTGATTGTGATTCACCTGGTTATACTGTCACTGTTTGTACATATAACAGATACTCTGTGTATTGTGATTAACTTAAAAGAAAGTCAGGAATTTATTTTTCATTTAACGAAAAACTGTCTTTGGGAAGTCCAGTGTAATTTGTGCCAGAGGAAAAGATGCTCAGAACGCATGCTCTTAAGTAATGACTGTTGTGTTGTCGCCTGATCTTTTGAGGAGGCATGTTGCTCTGAAAAAGAAGAAAAAAAGGAGATGAGATCATTGTGTCAAAATTCAAATTTTGCTTTCAGCATTTTTAAAGAAAATCCCATTTGGTGATTGCTAATTTCTTTCTGTGAAAGATTCATTCAAACTGTTGACTAGTTTTCACTCTGACTCTGTGTTGATTTAGATGATTACTTTGCTGCTTCCCATGTAAATGTTATGTTTTTGGCTCTAAGCAACAGGCCACCAGTATCCAGTGCAAACCATTGTTAACATTGTAATTCAATCTGTACAATGGACACATCTTTAATAAACTTAAAGTTAATATTGATTTTGTGTTACACTTTTTTGACTCTGCATGCAGTGCTTGATTGTTTTCTTGCGTAAGTTCCTAATTCTTCCTTTAACCTCAGAAATTTGCCTATAGGCTCCTCATAATGCTTTCTTTAAATTTGTACTTTTTCTTTCATTGAACTGTTTTTGGTTCTATATTATAATATACTAATTTTGAGAGGCAGAGCTCATGAGTGTGCTGCAGTAAAATAAAAGTTATTCTACCACAGACGGGAAGTGTTTAATCTTTGTAATTTTGTTATTAAACCGCATCTGTTTTATATTTTAAAATTCAATCCAGCCAATCGTTTCTTCCTTACCAGTTTATCACTTTAAAACTTTGTCTTTCCCAAACTTCTACTGTTCAATTTGATTTTTTTTCCCATCTAGCACGACACCAAACAGCATATAGCTAAACAGGAAATCAGCTCTTCCTGTGTTTTCTGCTCTCAGGATATTTTGCCACAGTCCACTTCTTCATTTTAGCCCTGCCCCATTTTAGCCCCCACACAGAAACAGTTCATCCCTCCCCTCTGCTGCTTTGGCTGGAGTGATGAAAAGTTTCACTCGATTTTAAGGAGTCGATCATTTCGATTCAGCACATTCCACAGAGTGAAAGTGTTTATAATTAGTTGAAAAGATTTTTGTTGGAAGATGTATGTCTGTTCTCATGCATGTGCACCTATTTACACATTTGAATATTAATGTACTTAAAATGGAAAAAAATAACAATGATCATAATGTCCACCTGATTGTTCAGTACATAAAACTGACTAGTAAGTAAACACTGTAATGAATAGTTCACAGTAATTCACAGTAAAAAGTAAAACCCTTCAGCTACACAGAAATGAGTAAACACTTTGGAGGAATGGGGAGAAAAAGAGAAAAACACTCCCAAAAATCTCAGAGTTCAAAATGATGTGATCGTCCAGAGATTACCCATAAGCTGCTCCAGATATGAACCTGATATGAGGAGCTTCCACACTGAACTACAGCTCTGACTGCACAGCTGCCTACGGTCTGTTTTTTCTCTTGTTTACTAGCTTTCTTTTTGCTTGGTAAAAAAAACAACTTTATTTTGTAGTCAGTCACTTCAAAATGAAGTAGAGTTGTAGCTTAAAGCAGACACGCTTTTGAGTGTCGGTGGATTGGTGGAACAGCAGATTTTCCTTTTTTAAATAAATATTTTATAGTACAGTACTTCTGCTTATGTTGTGAATGTGCTTACTGTCTACAGTTGTTTAGTTTACTTACAGACAACAAGCTGAAGCACCAGGCAGCCAGTCTATTGGACTATTGTTGGTCAGTTGCTAGTAGCTAATCTGTTGCAGACTCCATGCTATTTCAGCAGCATCTGTAGCATCAGGCTTTTGGGCTTCTCAACAAGCTTAAATGGGCTTCGAGAGCTTTTATCTCCTAAGATACAACTAAAAATGAATGCTGTAGTGCATAATTATGATTAAAAGTGAAAAAATATTTTGCTGGCATAAGAAGAAATCCCATTAGCTACACACATGCTGCCAGAGTTTTTCAGATGATAAATCTGACATTTGATACATGCATTTGTTAAGAATTGATTGAGAATAATGATTGTGAACCATTGTGTGTTAATGGGTTAGATGTCTGCTGAGCTCCTCTCTGTGAGTGATCCAGGTGGGAACAATGGAAATCCTCAAGACATCTCAGTGGGGGGCACAAAACCTTTACACCGCTTCTTAAAGGGACAACCCAAAATTATTGGTGTAAGACACTGACACATACACAAATGCACATGAATGTTTGTTGTTTTGTTTCATTTCAGTATCTTTCCACATTTGAGAAGAACTTGAGGCTTATATTGCCACAGAAAATAAAACATAGCTAACAAAATCATGCTAAACGTTGTTTATGTTTTCTCCTAGACAATTGTGCTGATCTTGGGTGCATCCTTCTTTATCATATCCGTTGCGATCACGGCAGACTCCCAGATGATGCATGTATGGACAGTCATCCCACCAGGCTTCCTGCTGGGGACACTGGTTGGTAGTTCAACAAGGGAATAATAAAGAGTGCCTTGGGAAGTTTGACGTGACTCAATATTTTTTAACTTAACATTAACTTAACATTAACTTAAGAAGTATTAAATAATCAGAATTTATATTGCACTTTATTTTAGTGTCAGTGTTTGCTTTCCTGTCACCTTACAACCATCCAACACATGGGATATGTAATAAATCTGTCTTTCTCTCTGTCTTCTCATAGTTAATCATATGTGGAATTACATACATTTTGGCACAACATAACACCACCAAGAAAACAGTAAGTTCTACTGAAATATGATGAATGTTATATTATAGCAAAATTATACTAGAACTAGAAATTGAACAAGAGGTTTCTTCAAATAAAAGTGTTTATGGATGCCTTAGAATTTAATATTGCATTATCATCACCAGTAATTTATAGTTTAATTTATAGTTTGACTTATATTTGAACATTGTTAATATCTTAACACCTGTGAAGATAAATCACACCTTTACTGCTTCCATAGAAATAAACAGGGTATGTAGTGCTGCAAATGCACTTGATTAATAGAGCATCTCTGTAAAAGTAGATGTTTTTGGCAGTTTGCTGGTCTGGAGCATTCAGATGTATGTTAACAACAATCTTCACTATGTGGACATCATATAATTCACCCCAAAGTCAGATCATGCGACAAACAAACTATACTACAGGTCTTTGTTAGCATGTTAAATGTTAACTTTTATGACAGTACAACTGGAAAAAGACTGGAGGAGAATAGTTTGTTTGGAAGGGTTTCCATTAGAAAGCCTTTTCACAGCAAAACCTTGGACACCAGCAAATCTACAAGAAAGAAACTGGGAATAAAAATACTTGAGGTGCTGAAATGGTCCAGCTGAGTCCAGCTGAAATTCTGTGGCTGGACCTTAAGAGAGCTGTGCATAAACAAATGCTTACCAACCTCAATATAATGGGATTTTTTCTTAAGAAGTTGCTCAGAACCCTAACCCTTGAGGTTGTGATTTCTTTATCACATTTTAGTTGAAGTTATTGCTGCTAAAAGTGGTTCTCATGTGTACTCAGTTTTTCACAGAACTGCATAGACTCCAGTGGAATTTATTTGTTTTAAATGACTGTGTGTCACCCCCATCTTTGTCTGTTGGTGTCTGCAGGTAACCATTTCGTTATCTCTGAGCATTGTCTCCATACTGGTCGCATGCTGGACTTTAATACACATCCTGCCTGACATAGAATCATATTCCTACCACCTAGATTACATTTATGATAATGGAACCTTTTCATTTACTGAACCAATGGAAAATCGCCAGGTAATTGTTTTATCATATTTCTCAGCCTCAGGTTTTATGTCTCTGTTATTGTTATTGTTATTTACCTATCTTTTGGGCAGCATGATGTATTTTGACTGGAGCTTTAAATGTAACTAATTAAATTCTTAAATGTATTAAATTAAATATAATATAGCGTTAAATGCTATGTAACAGTGTATTTCATTTCTTTAAGTTCAACCTTTTTTTTTTTTTAGCTCATGGGATTGGCTTTGGAAGCAGTTTTGGTGTTCTACACTTTTGTTGTAGCGGTTATTTTCATTGTAATGTCAGCTCTGGCTGGCATTGCCCTGCGATCCACAAAAAGCCAGGTAAGAGGGCACACTGCAGTCATTGCTTAGTGTTGGGAATGTCCTACAAGGAACTTATTACCCAATATTTGTTTAAAAAAGTTGCAAAAGGTCAAGTTACGCTAATTTTTTCTCCTCCTTTAGGCCATTGTAGTGATGACTGCTGCATCGCCTGATTTGTCAGTTGAATAGCAAACACAAGAGGACTGTCTGAAGTGTGAAAAATTAAGAGAAGAAATATATATATACTGTATAAACAAACCTTTTAGTTTTTGTTTGCTGAAGCGGCAGATTCAATGCATCGTTTTGAAATTGCATGGTGTATAACCTAACATAAACTTGATAAATCAATAAGGAACAAATTAATAATCTGTTTCATACAAGTATGGTTCATATTCCATGTCACATGCTAATATTATCCTTAATAAACCAAATTTATGTACAAATGTATTTACTGGTCCAATTTACCTTAATTAATTAGATATTGCCATTTAATTCTGTTGGGGCACCTCCTCAACTGAGTTTTAGCAACTATTCTGATGGTTCCTTATAAAACTAATACAATTAATTAATTGCATTATTGCATGTGTTGCACCTTTTTTCATATTTCCCTACTAATTGTATTTGTAATGTGTGCTGATATATGTGTGTTTGTATGTTAGTAAAGAAACAGAAAGGAGATGCAAGAAAGACACACACACAAATATTTTTAAGGTATCGTAACATTTTTCATGAAACCTTTTAATGCAGTTGAAGTACAATGTTACATTCTTATAATATTAAAGTTAAATGATCTCAAAATTAATTACATCTTTTTTATCAGAAATGTTTGTCTTTGTCTCACTTTGCAGTTTGACTGTTCCAGTGTTCTTAGATCAGCTGGTTGATTTTATCTGGAGACTGCTCATCTCACAGCTAATGTTTCAAAAGCCATAGAGCCCAAACTATTACATTAGTATAACAAAACAATATTAACAGTCCTTATTAATCATAAGTACACAAGTAAATGTCCTACAAGGGTTTTTTTTTAGCATCACAAGTTAAACTTAAAAAAAAAAAAATTAAAATAGGCGGGAACTTCAGAACATGAAAACACAATCTTAGGAACTTAAAGCACCTCTCATAAATTGCATTGCCCTTTTATTTATATATGTATTTACCTATCAAAGGTACCAATAGTTCATACCAGGTGTAAGATACCAAATAATATGATCCTTTTTCACCCTTCTGTCCCTAACAGAAATATTTTGGAATAGACCAGACAGAACATGCACAGAACCTCATAGCTGCCCTTGACTCATGTTTCACACCATTGGCACAAACACTGTGACACCCAACAAGCTGTCCTCTCTTACAGGGAACACTATGTGAGACATATAACTATTACATATAGAGAGATTCAGAATCACAACACTAAATGGAATGAAGTCAATATTATGGCAAAGATCTACTACACTACTTAATGGCTAAACATGTAAAGTTAATAAGAGCATAAAATATGTGTGTGTCTCCCTCTCTGCATTAGACTAGACAGCTCTGGTACCTGTGGAAGTGAAAGGCCGTGAAAGCAACTTTGGAATACAATGTACCAGCCAGTTAGTTGACATGGTAATATCTTTAAATTAAATCACACACAGAGAGGAAATGTCATGGTTCTGGCTACCTGGTGAATGTGAAGTAATTATTGAGTTTTACTCAGTTTGGTCTCTAATAAACTCTATCTGTTTAGATACTAAATGATCTACTTTGTGCATGAGCTGGTATCTGTCTGTTGTTTGGTGCCAGTAGTATACCGCAATCTTTTAAAGTGTTTTACACTGATATGCGAACGCAATAGCTGCCAGTACGGTAAACTGCAAGCCGAACAGATAAGGAAGCTGCAGAATGGTATTTTCTGTAGATTTGGCCATTATTTTCACATTGTTATTGTGAAATATCAAATATATAAACATAAAATATTCATTTGTTCTACACTTAGTTTCCAGGGAAATGCCACCTTGTTTTCCAGGTTGCTTCTGGGTTTCGTACTGATTTGCAAATCAGTCATACCATATGTTTAGCTTAAAATAGTAAAAAGGGAATATATCAACTGTTAAAAATGGTATACTTTTGAATTTGATGTAAGCAAATGTTATAATGGGGCAATTTTAAAAAAATGGTGAAGAATGAAGGATATGTAAATTTAGGGCTAACAGGAGAATGCTAGGATAGGGTGACATGGAGGAAGACAATGACTAAACAACATGACTGGTTATAAAAGGAACTGAAAAAAGAGGACACATCTTTCAGAGGAATGGAGGAATTCACAACTCTGTAAGAGACAATTTAAGAACAATATTTCCAATTTAAGACACAGCTACATAATATCACTGAAAGATACAGAAAATCTGGAGAAATCTGTGTATGCAGAGATATTCACAAAGGCCAATGGTGACATGGCAGCTAAGCAGAACTGTATTTAAAACCAAATTTGTTCTGTACTGGAAATAACTGCATAGGCTCAGGAATATTTAATCACAAGATTTGTTGTTGCATTCACAAATGTTAGCGGAAAAAAAATGCAAAGATTAAAAATGAACATCCTCACATGCACACATGTATATATGAAAAACAAAATCTGCAGTAAAGAGAAGTGGGGCCATGTGGTTTGTTATCAATGCACATTTCAAAGTACTGCATGGTATAGAGGTATATTAGTGGATTAGTATACAGGTTTTGGAATAAGTCATTTCATCCAAAAGAATACCCTTGTAAGGAAAGGCTCATTTCAACAAGTGAATGTCAAAATAACATTGCAACAATTAAAGAGTCTTTAAAGGCTAAAATCTTCTACTAAGGTAAGAATGGGAAACATATTGCCTTTAAAACTTCAGCATTTAGTTACCTCAGTTGCCAAATACTTATACAGGGTTTCTGATATCAGAGATGATGCATCACTGCCAACATGGCCTTGTCTCGCACTCTGTTCTTAATGTGTTGCTGGCATCAAATTCAAAAAAGCATTTCATTTGATTCATTCTCTGTTCATGCATTTGATATGTTGCCTTTGCACTATGTTCAGTTAATAGATTATTTTATTTAATGGCTGTAGGAAAACAAATTCTCTATACTGAACACATTATGGGAAACAACTCCCACCAGTTTTATTACCTTTGTCAAGGGCGCAAGAACACTTGTTTTTGCTGGTGACAGAAACTAGATATCCCAGAGGTCGGATGACTCCAAACAGGAGGGCCCTGCCCTGGTTTGAATCCAGGATGCTCTAGCTGTGAATCAACATGATTACCTACTGCTGCATATTAAAATGATTAAGATCCACAACATTTATTTTTCTTTACTTTCTTGCCCTCCTACTGTTTTTGCTTATTTAGAATAGCCTTTATTAATTGCATTAAAGGCACTAACTTTCAGCTGCAAGTTCTGATTTTAAAAATCGAACATGTAAAAAAATTCCCTGTCTTACATATATTTGCAAGACACTAAAGGAAACTGTCATCCTAACACACATTATATTATAATGAAAAATGCATTTCAGTTTCCTAGCTTTTCCTCAAAGTCTCAAGTTGATGAAGCAGGAGGCTTTTGAAAATCATTCCCAGGGGTACATCGCTGATGAACACGCATGTGCTCGGTGACACGGTATTGGCGTGAAAAAGTCATAGGGCAGCGGGGGCAGGGGAAGGGCCTTACACCAAGGTGGCTCCGCACATGTCTATTTAGAGAACCTCGCTGGCTAAAGGAACGGTCGCATAGAGAGCATTGGAATGGGTGGTGAATAGGAGATGACAGATGAGCTGATCTATTGGTTGGCATGCTGGTTGAAAGGCCAGATGCCATGCAAAAAGACACAGAGGGTTGCATGGAGTCTGACACTCCAGGAGGTGAACAGTGTGTCGAGGTAATGGTTTGGTTCTCACCTTCTTTAAGGTTGGAAACTTCAGACACAATGCAAGAATTTTGAATAGTCTCAACAGCTGGACTACTTTGAACAACAGTCTTTCTTTCCTCAGCATTTGTCTTTGCAGCCCAGTGTGTGCCACCCATATCAAGTCTCCCAGTTCCAAATTTAGCCCCAGCCATAACTGTTTTCATTTCAACAGATGCTACAGATGTTTTTTCGTACCTCTCTGCTCCATCATATGCCCAGATTCCAGTTTCAAACATATCCCCTTTCTCTTCTATGCCAGATTGGTGTTTGCAGGATACTAATAGTTCTGCAGGTCTTGTGCTAATATCCAGAAGAAGAAACTGGTCTGTAGTCTCTGTTGAGCTGTAGTGCTGCTTTAGGGGACTCTCAAAGGCACCAAAGTCTTCCTCCTCACTTGAACCATCAGAATCATCAAAGTGGTTTGAGTGGGAGCGTTTGTGATCAGAACCTCCTTGCAATAAGTGCACATCCTCTTGCATATCATCATGCTGTAGGCAATGATAACGAAGATGTCCATGATAAGAGTGTCTCACAGCACTGTCAACACTGGTGTCAGACATGTTTCTGTCCGCAGGCATTGTAAAAATCGAATGTGATTCTATGATGTCAGTGCCTGAGGTCTTTTCAGTTTGCAGAGATTTCGGGAAGCTATCAGCATGGTATTCTTTGGTGTCCACCGCTGTAGGACTGTAGTTTGAATCATGGTTCGAAGGAGCATTGTTTGCACTTGTGTCAGCTCTGTATATGTTTGAGTACCCTTTCTTTGGTTCATAGTTGCAGTGGCTGTCCTGTATATCACTTTCAGCTGGAACTCTATTAGAGTAACTGTGTTCCTCTTTCACCTCTTCCTCTGGACCTAGATGTTCTGTGTTTAAGTCCTCCACAGGATGAGCAATAAGTGGAACTTCAGCTCTCAGACCTCCTGGTTCTGCTGTTGCTGTTGCCAATTTGCTGACATTGTAGGATTCAAAGAAATCCAGCTGCTTTTTTTTGGTTGAGAAATCATCAAACCTGAGATCAATTTTATGCTTCAATTCTTGGCTCCAGTCCTTACTCTGCAGCACTGAATCTTCTCTAAGATTGTGTGTATTTTTCTGAAAGGAATCACAATAAGCATGCTGATCATTATTGTTGGTAAAGTGAGATGATCCTCTGTCAACACATTCATTGCCCTGCATTGTAAAATGATCTGAATCGCTGCTGTCAAAATGAGATCTACCTCCACTGGATTTGTAATATAAATCTTGTAAAGCACATTGATCTAAATTATCCTTGTTATTCAGATTTTGTGTAATAGTGTGTTTTTTATTGTGGCCGTATTCCTGGCTCTGTGCTTGATATTGACGTTTGCATTTAGATGTAATACCTTCAATAATGCTGTCATTTTCTATGCTCGCTGAACGTGAGACTGGAGACCTGCTGGAGTTGCTTGAAGTCTGGAGGGCTGAATGGAAGGGAGACACAGGAGACACATCTGCTAGCTGGGGGATAGCTGCTCTGCTGCTGTGACAGATGACAGGTACTGCCGCACAATATGAATGTGGGGATGAAGATGAGCTCCTCCTATTTTCAGCTGTCCTCACCAGAGTGTCACCTGTGTACCTTTGCCAGATGCCAGCTGGATTAAGCCAATCCTTTTCCGCCTCTTT